TTGAAGTATTGCTCTGTTGCTCAGGCTGGAGTGCAGTGGCACAATCTCGGCTCACTGCAACCTCTGCCTCCCAGGTTCAAGCGATTCTCCTGCGTCAGCCTCCCCAGTAGCTGGGATTACAGGCCTGTGCCTCCATGCCCAGCTATTCTTTTTTTTTTTTCCTATTTTTGGTAGAGCTGAGGTTTCACCATGTTGGCCAGCTGGTCTTGAACCCCTCACCTCAGATGATCCGCCTGTCTCGGCCTCCCGAAATGCTGGGATTTCAGGTGTGAGCCACCGTGCCTGGCTGTTCCAGGGGGTTGAAAACACGAGCCCTGAGCCTTGGTTCTTGCAGTCACCCGGGTTGTTGGTTCTTTTTATAGGCTTAGGGGCTCTTCCTCTCTACCTGGTTGTCCCCGGTAGTTGGACTTCTTACCAGGCAGCCCTGGTCAAGAGCACAGAAGTGGCTACTGCAAGGCCCTCTTATGACTTGGGGCTGGAAATGGCAGAGCATTGCTTCCACTGAGTCCTTTGGCTAAAGTAAGCACAGGTTCAGTGCAGATTCAAGGCGGGGACCACGCAGATGGCCAGCGTGGCTCGTTGGAGGCTACCAACGAAAGGGCCTACCATGTTCCTGCTCATTCACTCTTCCTCTAGCCTGTGACACACACGCCTGCCGCTGGGCCTTACCACTTACTGGTTCCCTCTGCCTGGGGTGCTTTTCCCCAAATATCCAGAGGTCTTACCCCTTCCTGTCATTCAGCCTCAGCTAAATGTCACCTTTAAAGAGCGATCAGGGGCAGGTATAGTGGCTTACACCTGTAATCCCAGAACTTTGGGAGGCCGAGGAGGGTGGATCACAAGGTCAGGAGTTCGAGACCAGCCTGGCCAACACGATGAAACACCGTCTCTACTAAAGATACAAAAAATTAGCCAGGCGTGGTGGTGCATGCCTGTAATCCCGGCTGCTCAGGAGGCTGAGGCAGGAGAATTGCTTGAACCTGGGAGACAGAGGTTGCAGTGAGCCGAGATCGCGCCACTGCACTCCAGCCTGAGTGACAGGGTGAGACTCTGTCTCAAAAAAAAAAAAAAAAGACCATACCTGATTCTATCTTATCAAAAACAGTGTACACCCCACATCACTTCTGACCCCTGATCCCACTCGGCTCTTTTTTTTTTTTCATTGCACTTATCACCTCCTGGCATTATATTTACTGCCTGTTTATTATTTGATATCCCTCTCACCCGTCTCAGAATATAGCTGTCATGTGAGAGGGGCACTTGCCTTGTTCATTGCAGTTCCCTTAGCTCCAGATATGACACATAGTAGATAGGGTTGTTAAATGAATATTTGAGATGAGGAAACTGAGGCTCAGAAAGGTTAAGTAACTTTCCCAAAGACACACAGCTAATAAGTGACAGAGTGGGGATTCAAACTCAAGCATTTAACATTGATCGTGAAGTCATGGAAGCTTTGCTGCATAGGGGTAATTGCTTATGTAATTATGGCAGCCTGCCCCCTCTTCTCTCTGAGTCCTGCCTGTCTCCACTTAGAGTGATCTTCCTGAAAGTAAAATCTGATCAAGCTTAAAACCCATCTTGAAGGTAGCTCCCTCCCCTTCAGCAGAAAGCCCACCTGCCTTAGCGTGCTGCCAAGACACAGCAAAGCGTAGCTTCTAGCTCTGGCCTGATACAGAAAGGATGAGGGTTTTGGAGTCACCCCGGCTTTGTCTGCAGCACGCCTAATCACCAGCTCTCTAAACACAAGCAAATTAGGAATGTCATTCATTCTGCGTGTCTGTGGTTAGCAGGAGGTCAAGCTGGCTGAAGGCAGCTCTGGAGTGGCCTCAGCTGGGGCAGTCATCCCACATAGTCTCATCTTCCCAGCAGGCTAGCGCAGGCTTGTTCTGGTTGGGCTCTGGAGAGGAGCAGAAGTCTGCAAGACCTCCTAAGGCTGGGCTTGGAACTGGCCCAGCATCACTTCTGCTGTGTTCTATTGGTCCAAGCAGATCAGGAGCCCCCAGATCCCATGAGTATGTGTGAAGCTCTTTACACCATGCCTGACACACAGGAAATGCTATTATTATTGTTGTTGATGTTGTTGCCATGAATTTGCATAGTACTTTATGCTTTTTTTTTTGAGACGAGGTCTTGTTCTGTCACTAGGCTGGAGTGCACTGGCACAATCTCTGCTCACTGCAACCTCTGCCTTCCAGGTTCAAGTGATTCTCTTGCCTCAGCCTCCCGAGTAGTTGGGATCACAGGCGTGTGCTAATTTTTTGTATTTAAGCAGAGACGGGGTTTCACCATGTTGGCCAGGATGGTCTCAATCTCCTGACCTTGTGATCCACCTGCCTCGGCCTCCCAAAGTGTTGGGATTACAGGCATGAGCCACCGTGCCCAATGCTTTATGCTTTTTAGAGTTTTATTGAATACATTACTATATCCTACACTGTGGGAGGAAGTTGGAGCAAATATTACTAGTTTGACAAATATTTGACAAATATTTAAAATATCTAAAACTTTGGGCAAGTTTAGATAACTTGCCCAAGACTGCGCTTTTAGCTAGTGGCTGCAGCCAAACACTGGAAATCAGATGTCGTGCAATTTAAAGCATGTCTGCAAACACATCTGCAGAAAGTGAGCCCATGTGCAGATGATTTCATTGTCCTGAGCACCACTGTGGTAAATGAAATAAGATCTAAATGCTATTGTCACTGACCCGGGCTAGTAACTATCTGCAAGGCTTAGTGATGATGTCCAAGATCCAAGTTTCCTGCTTGGCTTCCTAGCTCACTCGAGTGAAAGATAGCTTTCTTTTCTTTTACCTAGAGAACCTGTCTCTAGACTCCAGTTGCTTCTCCTCTCCACCTGTGAACTTCCTCCAAGAATTGCCAAGCTATCGGTCCATTGCACGCAGGAGAACGACTGTCATTTCTCGGGACAAGCAAAGTGGCACTTTGCTAAAGCCAACCAACTCTTACAGCTCCCAGCTGAAGGACGGAATTGCTGCAAATCTCAGCAGCCAATCCATTCGAGAATATGCACTGAACATCTCTGAGAAGCGGAGACTAAGGTTTGTTCACTAGACACCTGGAATCTGTATAGTGATATTATGCACCAGAGGTATGTTTTGTGCATGAAATGCATTTCATGAAGAGCTCACATAATTAAAATTTTCTTCCTTAGGGTAAGCTAAGCTTTTTGACAAAGATACCGAAACTCCTACTGTTTCACTTGACTAGCCTTAAAAAAAAGATATCTAAACATACTCAACATATTAGAAGTTTATTTCTTTTCTTCTTTTTTTTTTTTTTTTTTGAGATAAAGTCTTGCTTTGTCAACAGGCTGGAGTGCAGTGGTGCAATCTCGGCTCACTGCAACCTCCACCTCCCAGGTTCAGGCAATTCCCCTGCCTCAGCCTCCTGAGTAGCTGGGACTACAAGTGCATGCCACCATGCCCAGGTAATTTTTGTATTTTTAGTAGAGATGGGGGTTGGCCAGGATGGTCTTGATCTCTTGACCTTGTGATCCGCCCCCCTTGGCCTCCCAAAGTGCTGGGATTACAGGCTTGAGCCACCATGCCCGGCCTAGAAGTTTATTTCTTGTTAGCATAAAGTACTAGGTTCAGGTCAGTGGGAAACTTTGCAGTCAGTCATTCAGGGACCCAGGCTCTTTCCATCTTGTGGCTCTGTATACCCTTAAAACCTCATTTTTGTCTGCAACCAAGCCATGCAAAAAGAAAGAGTATGGAGTATGAGTATACCACTTAGCTATACCCCACAACTCAGTAGCCTAATACACAACTGAGTAGCTAGTCAATCCTTCTAGTTTCAGTTGGGCTGAATCTTTATTGATAGTCAGCTGTGGTTGGGGAGATGGCTCTGCTGATTTAAGCTGGGGGGTCAGCTTGCTGTAAGCTGGTCTGGGGTGGCTTCAGCTGGAATGATCACATGGTATCATTAGGAGAGCTCCAGTTTGTTTGCATGGCAACAGTTGGAGCCCAAGAGAGGATCAGAAACCTACAAAACCTCCTGAGGCTAGGCTTAGAACTGGCTCAGCTTCCCTCCTACTGCAGGCTATGGTCTAACCCGATCACAGTCCAGATTCAAGGGGTGGGAAATAATTCCTCCTGCTAATGGGAAGAGCTGCAAAGTCACATGGCTGTGGGACATTCACATATTCATTGAGTAATTGGGAGTTTTGGGAGTGGGTTAAGAGCCAAGTCTGAAAGGTGCACATATCACTTTTCTTTACGTGTCTACCAGAGAGAATTTAGTCACATGGTCATACCTAACTGCCAGGAAGGCTGGGAAGTGTGAATGGATTTGGGTGATAGCTTGCCATCTCCCCCATTCTTGAAGAATTTCAAACATAATTTTCCCATTGGCCTGGTGTAATGACAGACGTGGGTATTTCTGCTTAACTCTTTAATTGCCCCCCACCCACCAAGGGTCAGTAGCATAAATGCATTGGAAGGGTCCAGCAAAGTGGCTCATGCCTGTAATCACAGTATTTTAAGAGACTGAGGCAGGAGGATTGCTTGAGACCAGAAGTTCCAGATCAGCCTGGGCAGTATAGCAAGACCCTGTCTTTACCAAAATAAATAAATAAATAAATAAATAAATAATAATAATAATAATAATAAAATTAGCTGGGTGTGGTGATGTGTGCCTGTAGTCCCAGCTACTCAGAAGGCCGAGGCAGGTGGATTGCTCAAGCCCAGGAATTGGAGGCTGCAGTGAGCTATGATTGTGCCGCAACACTCCAGCCCTGGTGACGAGTTATACCCTGATCTTGTCTCCACACACAAAAAATAGTGAAACAAAGTAACACATCGGATGATACACTGTGACTTGTAGGTTTGAGAATATGCTATCTGTGGTTTTATTTTTAATTTGGGTGGTCTTGTATTCTCAAAAAAATATTGAGACTTTATAACTGTATTTTAGCCAGCACAGTGCCTCACGCCTGTAATCCCAGCACTTTGGGAGGCTGAGGCAGGCGGATCGCTTGAGCACAGGAGCTCATGACCAGCCTGGGCAATGTGCCAAAACCCTGTTTCTACTAAAAATACAAAAATTAGCTGGGCATGGTGGTGCACTCCTGTAGTCTCCGTTACTCAGGAGGCTGAGGTGGGAGGATCACCTGAGCCCAGGAGGTTGAGGCTGCAGTGAGCCAAGATGGTGCCACTGCACTTCAGTCTGGGTGATAGAGCATGACCCTATTTCAAAACAAACAAACAAACAAACAAAAAAAGGATATTTTAGTGCTCCCTTTGGGAGCACATATACTAAAATTGGAGCAATACAGAGAAAATTAGCATGGCCACTGAGCAAGGATGACACACAAATTCATGAAGCATTCCATATGTAAATTTATTTAAAAATCAAATAAATAATAAATAAATACATAATGTATTTTATTCCCCACTCTTTCAGATTCACAGATTTTGAATTTTATTTTATTTTATTTTTGAGACAGAGTTTCGCTCTTTTGGCCCAGGCTGGAATGCAATGGCGGGATCTTGGCTCACCACAACCTCCGCCAATTCTCCTGCCTCAGCCTCCCAAGTAGCTGGGATTACAGGCATGCACCACCACACCCGGCTAATTTTTGTAGTTTTAGTAGAGATAGGGTTTCTCCATGTTGGGCAGGCTGGTCTTGAACTCCCAACTTCAGGTGGTTTGCCTGCCTTGGCCTCCCAAAGTGCTGAGATTACAGGCGTGAGCCACTGCACCCAGCTAGATTTTGAATTCTTATAAACTGCTACTGTTCTATACCAAACTCTGCCACACCTAAGCGAGAGACATATTTTCTATCAAGGGGCTTCCAGGCTCACTGGAAAAATGAAAGTAACAGACTCACGAGAGCAGGACCCATGTCTACCTGGTTTACCAGTGAATCCCTAGAAAATGGCAAAGACAAGGACACAGGAAGGATCATTCTTTTTTTTGAGACAGAGTCTTGCTCTGTTGCCCAGGCTAGAGTGCAGTGGCATGATCTCGATTCACTGCAACCTCCACCTCCCAGGTTGTTGCAATTCTCTTCCCTCAAGTAGCTGGGATTACAGGCACCAACCAGCACGCCCAGCTAATTTTTGTATTTTTAATAGAGAAGGGCTTTCACCATGTTGGCCAGACTGGCCTCAAACTCCCGACCTCAAGTGATCTGCCCACCTCGGCCTCCCAAAATGCTAGGATTACAGGCATGAGCCATTGCACCCAGCCAGGAAGGATACTTCTAATTGCTAATAGTTGTTATTCTTTATTTCCCTTAACCCCCGCTCCACCCTCCGAGGCAGGGTTTAAACATTATTATTATTTTGTTTATTTATTTAGAGAGAGTCTCAATCTGTCGTCCAGACTGGAATGCAGTGGTGCCATCTGGGCTCACTGCAACCCCGCCTCCCAGGTTCCAGTGATTGTCCCACCTAAGCCTCCCAAGTAGCTGAGATTACGGGTGCCTGCCACCATACCTGGCTAATTTTTTGTATTTTTAGTAGAGACGGGGTTTCACCATGTTGACTAGGCTGGTCTTGAATTCCTGACCTCAGGTGATTTGTCTGCCTTGGCCCCTCAAAGTGCTGGGATTATAGGCATGAGCCACCACGCCCAGCTGAGGGAGGGTTTTTTCTTTTTTATTTATATTTTTTATTTTTATTTATTTATTTATTTATGAACAGAGACGGGATTTCACCATGTTGGCCAGGCTGGTCTCAAACTCCTGACCTCAGGTGATCCGCCCGCTTCGGCCTCCCAAAGTGCTGGGATTATAGGCATGAGCCACCACGCCCGGCTGGGAGGGTTTTTTCTTTAACCTTAGCACTCTTGCTTATTGACATTTGGGGTCAGATAATTCTCTGTTGTGGAGGGCTGCCTATGGATTGGAGGATGTTTAGCAGCATCCCTGGCCTCTATCTACTAGAAGCCAGAAGCATGTCCCCCTCTCCCAGTTGTGACAATCAAAGAGGTCCCCAGTCATTGCCTGATGTTCCTTGAGGGTGTACAAAATCGCCCCCACTTGAGAACCACTGATGTAAGGGTAGGTATTTTACTAACTCCAACTTACTGATAAGGAAACAGACACAGCACAGGAGGCTTGTTTGGATGGAAGGTTCAAGTCCTTTATTTTTATTTTTTTTTAATTTTTTGAGGCAGAGTTTCGTTCTTGTTGCCCAGGCTGGAGTGCAATGGTGTAATCTCGGCACACTACAATCTCTGCCTCCTGCGTTCAAGCGATTCTCCTGCCTCGGCCTCCCGAGTAGCTGGGATTACAGGCGTGCTCCACCACACCTGGCTAATTTTATATTTTTGGGAGAGATGGGGTTTCACCATGTTGGTCAGACTGATCTCAAACTCCAGACCTTGTGATCTACCTGCCTCGGCCTTCCAAAGTGGTGGGATTACAGGCATGAGCCACCGCACCTGGCCTTTCAAGTCCTTTTCTTTAATAGGAGCTCCCTGTCTGATGGAGGAAGGCAGACTGGTGGGAGGGTGGCGGTGTGTGCCATGTGCCATGAATGGCTGGCAAATTCCTCGAGTCTCCTCTCTCACCTTCAGGCCCCAGCACCTTCTTTTTCCCCTGCTCTCCTTACTCCCTTACACCAACTTGGACTTGGGGTGCCTCCCCCAGGTTTCCAAGCCCCGATCACATCCCCTTTTATAGCACTTCTCCCCGAGAGCTGTCGTTGTTGGATTTCAGCGTGTTTGCCTTCCCTCTAGACTCTGGATCAGCTTTGTGGACCATGCAGTCTGTGTTGCAACTACTCAGCTCTGCTGTTGCAGATGATTCATAAATGAATGGGCGTGGCTGTGTTCCAGGAATATTTATGGACACTGAAATTTGAATTTCATGTGATTTCCGTGTGTCATAAAACATTATTTTTCTTTTGGCTGTTATTATTAAAATTTTTTTTTTTTGGATACAAAGTCTCCCTCTGTCACCCAGGTTGGAGTGCAGTGGCACCATCTTGGCTCACTGCAATCTCTGTCTCCTGGGTTCAAGTGATTCTCCTGCTTCAGCCTCCCTAGTAGCTGGGATTACAGGTGCCTGCCACCATACCCAGTTAATTTTTGTATTTTCAGTAAAGACAGGGTTTCACCATGTTAGCCAGGCTGGTCTTAAACTCCTGGTTTCATGCTCGGCCTCCCAAACTGCTGGGATTACAG